AATGGCCTTGTCGAGGCTGAGTACTCCAGTGGCTCACCAGCCCCTTGCTGTTCTTTTGGTCTGTTTCTTGGCTGCCTCGACGGGATGTAGGTGCATCGCGTGGAGTTGAATCCCAGCAAGAGTCCGGTTGGCAATTGAGGTCCGGGACGACAATACTACAGAGTAGGCTACATCCAACACCGGGCGTGAAATGCGTAATTCATTTATTCTCATCCCACCAGATCATTTGTGCGCCCTACGCCCGACCCAAACCTGCCATTAGACGCCTACGCCCTCACGTCCGCTTATCCCAAATGCCGCAAAACATACACAAAACTAGTTACTACACGAAATCGTCCAACACCAGCCCTCTTCTTGTTCTACCGGACCCGTCAATGGCTACGTCTTGAGATCCAAAACCCGCTTGAGCACATCCTCACTCGCCCTCCACCACCGCGCTCGCTGCTCCAAGTCATCTGCCACGCCGCCAAAACCCGCGTCCCTTCTCCTCTGCGCCTCGCGCGCCGCAGCCGTGCTGCTCTGAAGCTTGGCCTGCAACGGTCCGAGCTCGGCTTGCAGGCGCTCTGCCTCCTTCTGCTTCCTGGGCACTTTGGCCTGCAGGGCCTCGAGTTCTCGCGCCAGCTGCTGCTGCTCGGCTCTGCGCCGCTCCACCAGGCCAAGTGTCTTGGCCAGAGGCAGCTTCAGGCCGGGGTTGGCGCCTGACAAATCCTGTGTTGCTCTCAGCTGCTCGACCCGCGCCTCCAGCTCCCGTGTTTTGGCCGGCAGGTCCTGCAGCTTTGCCGTGTCGAGCTGGACGGCCTCGTACCGGCGGCTGAGTTCGCGCCCTCTGCTCTCGAGCTCCGTCACCATGGCCGCCACCTCCTGCTTGAGCGCCTTGAGTCCGGCCTTGACTTCTGCGTTGTCCTTTTCTAAGTCTAGGTTCTCTTGCATCGTGACGATTAACGGCGGGTCGCCGACGATTGCGCGGATAAACTTTTCCTTGGTGACTTGCTCGACGTAGGAGAATCGCAGTTTGGCAAACAGCTCGGTGTAGTGCGCTAGGTCGGCTTCGAGGCCGGCCGGGGTAGGGCCATCGAGGAGTGAATTTGATGCATCCGATGCCCGTGGCCGTGAATTTTGCTCGGCAGGGTCAGTGATGGTTTCGCTGAGTCTGATGATGGATATTTCTTGGTTTGCTTGCAGGCGCTCCAGAGCCTCGAGGGCTTGTGTCGCGTCGGCAGCCGCCATGGCGGAAAGTTGGCCCTGTTTCGGGATTGTGCCGCTTTTCTAGTAACTCAAAGGGAAAATTTTCATGTTCCCTACTCGTCTGAATTTCCTCGGGGCCCTTGGGGGTAGGTGTTCTAGATGTTCGCTTGACGTGTCTGATGGGTGAGAATGATGTTTGAGGTGGGAATGTGTTTACTTTGACGCCCAAACCGGTTAGTGCATGCAGCCTCGTAACTTTGCCGGCTATCGGACTCGACATCACCACCCACCGAGACAATGGCTCCGCGACCGACGACTTTCCTCCACTTTCACTCGTCCCATGCGCCGACGCTGCTTCGATTTTCGGGGCGCCTTTGGGCTATTTACTCTTGGTCTAATTCTGGTCGATTGTACAAATGTCAAACGATGAACTTCTCACGGATGAATACGTGGCCGGTCTCCTGGCACAGGATGCCAAGGACTGCTCACTGAAGTACTCGGCCATGGGCATGGAAGCTTTTCGCGACAACAAAAAGTAAGTCGGAGCCCGAATATTCCCCGGAAGCTTCCGGTCCTGACATGCGCTAGGCCTTCTACCATGCCCAAACCAAATACACGATTCCTGCGCCACATCATCAAAGACACAGACACACACAACAAGGCCCTACTCGCAAAGGAAGCCGCCGAGTCAAAAGCGAGATTGCAAGACCTCGAGCACGCCGAGGAAATAAAGAGGAGGAAGACGAATCCCAACGCCAAGGACATACGAAGGCGTCAAATGGGCGACATCCAAGCTATCCTCGGCGGCAGGAATAGGCGGCGGGGAAACGACGATGATTCGGGCACATCAACTCGATGTGACAAGGATGACGGCAAGGATCGCCACGAAAGGAAAAGCGTCAAGAGGAGCGATGATTTGTGCAGACGCGAATATGAGAAGCGACGCTATGGACGGCTCTCAGAACGCGACTATGCCGATGACGATGCCGAATCTGGAAGCGACGACCGGAAGAGGTCTCGACGCAGCAGACACCATTCATCATCGGACCAAGACGAAAGTCGGCACAGACATGGCAGATCACGAAGAGATGGCAGATCCAAGTCACCGCGGCGGCATCGATCATCCTGCTCACCCGACAATCGAAAACGCAGTCACAGGCAACGCTCGCGTCATCGATCAAAGCCACGGGATTCTTCGCGTTCGCGGAGCAAGAAGAAGCCCAGCCCACCGCCGGCGCCAGACGAAGATTCAGACCCCCTAGAAGACTTGATAGGACCAGCGCCGCCTCCAAAATTTCGTGGTCGGGGGACAATAGGGGGTGCGGCGGAACTAGACCGTCGGTTTTCAGAGTCGTACGACCCCAGGCTGGACGTGCAGATGGACGAGGATGAGGAAGACGCCTGGGATGATGCATTGGAGTCGTTTAGGGACCGACAGAAGCTCAGATTGCACCAACACCAGCGGATGAAAGACGCCGGCTTCACGGAGCAAGAAATACAGCGAGCCGAGGGGACGGCCGACAAGGCCGGAGAGCATGTCGTCTGGTCCAAGGCCGGGGAGAGGCGGGAATGGGACAAGGGCAAGGGCCTCGGGCTGGATGGTGTCGATGAAGACGACAAGAACCCGCCCACTCTGTTTTCAGAAGACTACTAGGAGAAATCTTTGGGCGGCGTCTTTTCGGTCTCCATGTTCGGCTTTGGCTGGGTCGCGCTTGATTAGTTGACATTCTTGGATAAAAGGCGTTATGAGTATGGGTAATAGAACGGCATACCAGTAGTGGCAGGTTACTATTTCGAGTTGTACGCAAACTGTCGTGAATACGAGAGTGATGAGTCGATGCTTTTCTCCCGTACACGACGTAATCTATGCCTGCGCCGATTCCTTCATGCATGCGTGGAATTCGGCATCGGAGCGACGTATGTCTACGGACAGAGATTCAAGGCGGCCCGGGAGAAGTCCCTTGCTGCAATGCAACGAGCCAAAATGATCGTCCTACCACGCAGGACGCTGTTCTACGCTACATTACGGAGTACGCCGGTGTATATTTTGCGGGAACTATGTATCTTGTCACGGATTGTGCAAAATGGACAAGCATTCAAGCCTGGACGTATGCTGGCTGTCGACTTTCTCTTCATGGCGTCTCATGCTGGTATCGGCAGTAGGGTATTGTACTCGCTATTCCCTCGTCGACACTTTACGCAAACGGGTTGGATTTGTTATGCCGGCTCTCGCTCTTCAACCCCAATCAGATGAATGAAAAGTGTGGTAGTCGCCATGATCTCCGTCTTGGGGCAAGGGCACTCCATCACCAGCGCAGCTATCTGTAAACTGTGAGAACTGGAGGGTTGGTGTAAGCCAGTTTTCTGACTGCTGACGATGGCGCAGATATCTTATGCTTAACGGGCACGTTTCTCCAGGGAAGCCTTGTCAACATGGTGATGCGGTGCTTTCTCCTCTTCATAGAGCAAGACGTGCAAGGATTCAATGATATTGTTTTCATGGGTCGGCCTCGGCCAGCAGGTATCAATGATATTTCATGGTTATGGGTGAGGGTTTGAAGGGGACTGAACCCCGACAATGGCGCACAGGAGAGATGACTGGGAGTTGGATTATTACAGCTACAATTACGCCCGGTCATGCATGTTCTTCAGCCGGCGACGCACGATGCCAGGCTACGGCATCGGATGGCGCAGGATCTGTGCAACGTGGTGGTGCAGGTGGGCAATTTAGGAAATCGTCCCCAAGAAGATGTATTGTCCCGACTACAGAAAAAGCAAAAGAAGGCATGGAAACAAGAGGGAGGCCAGACTGACGAGCGGGGCGAAGCTCACGGGGGGCATCACGAGGATGAGAGGACCAGACGCATGGCGCCATGGTCTCTGTACTCACGTCATGGTTGGAGGCTGGCCGAAGGTGTGTGGAGGACAAGAGACATGTCGATTTTATGAATGCGTTGTGTGGTGGATGTGTGCAGCTTGCATCACTGAATTGCTCGAATAGTCTGGAGTGCCAGTTGTTGGCGACGAGATGGGCCCAAGGTTCAAATGTTGGCATGTATATGCGGATTTTGAAGGAAATCAGCGTGGAGTTTGCAATGCCCCCGTGTAGAGCCCGGCCGACGATTTAAAACCAGCCCATGAATGCTCAAGACTCGGCATGTTCGTCAGTCGATGCAGGGTCTTCAAATGTTCAAATGTTGGCTGTTCAGCTGGTCTGGTGACGTCGTTGAGGAGGGGCGGGCAAGAGGCTGGAACGGTTGGATGCACATGTCTTCTTGGTTTCAAACACGGATCAATTGACTTTGGATGTACTACTCCGTACGTGCGTTGAAATGTTATCAAAGCGTCGACCAGCCGATGGCCCCGGGGTATTGGGTCTGAAATGCCAACATTCATTCCGTGGTTCCAATTTTAAGTTTTTAACGCACTAGATTGGCTTTTTGTCAGCGCCTGACTTGACGACATCAGGTAGAGCATGAAACTGGGGCAAAGGGCAGACGCAACGACATGAAAAAAATATTTAAAAAATTCTATTTCGTCTGTTCTCGCGCAATAATGGATGGAAGCAGGATGGCGCAGCTCATTTTGGAAAAATATCTAAACGGCTCAGCCGTATAAAGTCACAAGCCTCGCATGTGCAAGCTTCGAACAGCTTCTAGCTTGGAACATTTAAATGTCAATCAACTGGTCAACTATGCTGGTTCAATGTTGGCAGTGGTGTGGTTGGGTGGGACCGTTGACCAGTTGACATCCGGAGGCCTTCTGAGCGCCAGACCATGTGGGCAACGGGTTGATTCGCCGGAGCTTAGAGCATCATGGCACCTCGGTGGGAATGTGGCCGCCTTGAACCTGACTGGAGCTGGCACCGGGCGCCTGGCGCCAGTCTGGTCGATTGGTCGACTGGAATCAGAAGCAGTCAATTTGATCTGGACTCAAGTGCTGTCTCAACCGCCCTCTGTTGCGCCCGCTGTGACCGCCCAACCGCCCAGGGCCGATGGACATGGAGCTCCTACGGAGTACCTCCAACATTGAATGCATCATGCCCCTCCAGATGTCATGCCAAGCATCCACCCGCTCGACCAGAGGTCCCAGCCACCTATGCACAGGCTGCCGTCACCACCACCCAAGGCCACTCCAGGCCACTCAACGACCTCCAGACCGCGCAGGTGCCTCGACTTGACACGCTCCAACGCCATGCGCCAGTCACACCACTCCTGCTTGACCCTCACCTCGCCTTCATCGTCTCACCTCGTCCTGGTGTTTGAACCACACTCCCTTAACCGTCTCCTTGAGCGTTTTAATCCGTTTCGTTTCCTCCTTCTTTTCCCCTTGCCATACCAAGCATTCGCTTCACCTCCCACTGCATCTATTGTTGGCTCCTCCAGCCTCCCATCCAACGGTCCATCCGCACTGCACTTGCCGCCCTCAAGCTGCGCCCCCCCGACCCTCGCAGCTCGCAGATGAACGGCGTCACTGGCTGACGGCATCGTCGTCGACTGGACGTCGGACGGGACGACGACCACAATTACCATTTCGAAAATCCCACTCGCCAAGTCCTCCATTTTATCCATTTATCCTCTCGCCCTCGTCTCCCCCGGATATACACGAGTACACCGGTGCCGTTTGAGGCCCAGAAACCGGTAACATGCGTACGCCACGGGTCGCCATTCTCGTCTTCTTCTTCGCCGCGTTCCTCTTCATCGTATTCCGTGCTTTGACAGCCACCCGAACCACCGTAGTCGCTTCGTATCCGCCTGCTCCTCGAACGTCATCAAAGTCGGTATTCGGCTTCATGTATTACAACACGCCGTTTTCTCTATTTCCTCCCAACGCCGCTATCAGCTTGACCGATGACAATAGCACATCTTTTGCCGCGCGGCCCGCAGCCTTTGGTCCTAAGCTGGCTTCCTCAGGCCTAAGTGGTCAGCTCTGGGTCGGCAGCGGTTTCGGGGAGGATAGCCTGGACACGGATGGAGAGCTTGGCTGTAGTGATTTGCCTGGCTGGGGCAGCTCGAATACCAGAGCGTCTCTGAAGAACTCTTTTAAAGTTGGGTCGACGAGACTCCCTTCAGCCAAGGTCAAAGTGCCCAAAAAAGGAGGCACCCTGCTTGACCACGATAATCGCGAAGCCATTGCCAAGGGCAAAGCACAGGCGAAAAGTCCCAAGAACGACAACACGGATAATTATCTGACCGAGGAGGTGGCTGGTACTCCTTCTCGCCGGGATAGCTCCGTCGGCTCGTCTGGACATGCCGATATACAATCTATTCAGGAAGCTGCAGAAATCGAGGGAAAGATTGTTCTGCTCAAGCGTGGAGGATGCGGCTTCTTGGAGAAGGTTATGTGGGCGCAGCGCAGAGGAGCAATCGCCGTCATTGTTGGCGACAACCAAAAGGGCGGTCCCTTGATTCAAATGTTTGCCCACGGCGAGGACGTCGACAACGTCACTGTGCCTTCGGTTTTCACCGCCAGGACCACTGCCCAGCTTCTTTCTTCACTGACACAACCCGGAAGCTTTATTGAGGATACCCTCGATGACAACGGGAACGCCGTTCTCAAGGTCCAGCAGACACCTGCTGCAACGCACAAAAAGCAATCCCTCGCAAAGCCAAGAGCCGCCACTGCCGCAAAGGGCCCCAATGGGTCAAAGGCAAAGAGATCGGTCGAGGGGAAACGATCCAAATCTGCTGCTGAGAGTGGCAAAGGCCTCGGAGGAGGAATCTTCAGCTGGGGCACCACAACTCGCACAGTGGATTCTAAGAGCCGGCCTCCAAGGAGCGGCCGCTTGGACTGGGTCTTGGTTGATGATTTCAACGATGAGAAGGACAGGCTGATTAGCGATACCATGGGCAAAGCAAAGAGGCCCAAGCCCAGAACAGATGACTTCGTTATTGGTGTGCATGATTGGAGAGACCGTGACCTCGTCGGCACTGGAGAACAGAAGAATACAGTTGAAAAGAATCCCGCGAAGAACGCTGGGTCGGGCAAATCCAAAGACGGAGATGCCAGCTCGGACTCGGAGCCAAAACCTGCCGGATCAGACTCTAAGCACCATGGCCTCATGTCAAAGCTATTTGGGAGTGATTCCAGTGATGGCTCAAAATCTGCCATGCCGTCCGTTGATGAGGGTGAGGATTCTCCGACCATCCCACCACCACCCGATGGCTCACAACCACATGAAGGTTTATGGGTGACAATCACGCCGACGAGCAGCGCCAGCCCCTTTTTCGATACCCTGCTGGTGCTCGTTATCAGCCCTCTCGTAACACTGACCGTTGTTTATGCGCTTCTTATTCTCCGAGCTAGGATTCGCAGGAGACGATGGAGAGCGCCAAAGTCCGTGGTTGATCAACTTCCCGTGCGAACTTACCATACCGTTGCTTTGTCTTCACCCAGTCTATCTCCCAGATTACCATCTCCTTCAAGTGCCACGCCTACCACTCCTTTGCTGCAACACAGCCCTTCGCGACCACGCCCCCGATCGAGGACCACCACAGGAGTAATGGAAAGCGAGAATCTCCTCTCAGCCAGCGCTGCTGTTCCAGCACCGCAACCTCCTCGGGCAAGTCGTCGGACCGAGTTTGAAAAGGGTGCAGGAGGCTTTTCAGCAGAATGGCGCAAGTACATGGGGCGACAGGTTGAGTGTGTTGTGTGTCTCGAGGAATATGTGGACGGCGTTAGCAGGGTCATGAGTTTGCCTTGCGGCCATGAATTCCACGCCGATTGCATGTAAGTTTTAAGCGTACTCTACTCTTCCTCATGCGAACCCATCCACTAACCCCACGACAGAACCCCCTGGCTGACTACGCGGCGACGAACATGCCCTATTTGCAAGGGCGATGTGGTTCGGTCATTGGCACGCGGCAAGGGAAATGGCCCTCGATACGACGCCTACCGAGAAGATAGCGACGACGACGATGAAGAGGAGGAGGATGAAGCCGAGGCGTCTGGCTCTGGTTCAGCTGACAGACAGTCTGATTTGGAACAAGGTATCTCATCGTCAGAACCGAGAGACGCGCCGCAACGACCGGATAGAGACGGAGGTTGGCTAGGTGTTTTGTCCCATAGCTTCAATGGCAGGACGCGGCCTCATCCCCAATCACCCTCGCCAGAGGATCGAAATCGTTAGAATTTATCTATTACGAACTTGCATCAGAGGCACTGCATAACCCAGCCCTCGACGTTTTTGCTTTCCTCCTCTTTTGGCGTCTGGCATATCAAGGAACAGGGAAATAGGTGGATTTAATGCTCGTCGTTTGCTTTTTTTCCTACTAGCGAGTACAACTTTTGTGTTTGGGGGAACAGCCGTGTCCAGGAGAACGCGCTGTGGCAGGCTTGCGCCTTTTATGGCAACGATTTACTTTTTTGGCTTGTGTATAGGATTCCTGCTTTTGGCCACGCGGGTGGCGTCTGCAGAGGTGTTTAGCAACTGCATGGCATGGCTGTGCGAGGAGCACACACCGTAGTACTACTGGGCGGATAGTGTGGTGCATTTTATACCCACCCTCGTGTGAAGGGAAACTCACTTCTACGTTTGTGGAGGTCATGAATGAGAAGTACGAATTACCATTATGTTTATTGCGGTTTCTTGAATCGAGTGAATGGTGAAGGAGTTGGCTGTATGCCAACGCTTGTGTGCAAGTCTAGAGTTCTGACGTGGTGCAGGGTGGCACTCTTGGTTTCTGCAAGTTTGCGTAATGGCCTGTTGTTTGGGAGGTATCATCTATTTTAACTTGTACTTCTTCTATACAGTATATAACCAGAAACTCCTAAATGAAGCCCTTGAGAATAGCAGCCTCGGCATTGAGTATGGAGGAGCCGGCGGCGCCGATGACGGCTATAGAGCGGTTAGTCAAAAACTTGCCGTGGCGGAAAGAAAACAACAACTTACTGTTGTGGCTCAAGGCAGTAAACTTGAGGTCAAAGATGCCGCTCTCGTCCTCCCGCACCCGTCCCACGCTCACGGTATACCCGTTGCCCAAGTCCCGATCCAATCTCGGCTGCGGACGGTCCGCCTCGTCAAACACCCAGATGGCAGGGCTCGGCGCCGAGGGGCAGCCCAAGGTCTGCGCCTCGGAGACGTAGTTGCGCAGCGCGGCCTTGCACTCCTCGGCCGAGGGGGCGGGCTGGCGCTCGAACTTGAGGCTGACGCAGGCCGTGTGGCCGTCCATGACGGGGACGCGGTTGCACGTCGCGGAGACGCGGAGGCCCTGCTGCTCGATAAAGGCGGACTGCGAGCCGTTGATCTGGCCTAGGATCTTGCGCGCCTCCGTCTCGAGCTTGTCCTCCTCGCCGCTGATGAAGGGCACCACGTTGTCCATGATGTCCATGGACGACACGCCCGGGTAGCCTGCGCCCGAGACGGCCTGCATCGTGACGATGGAGACGGTTGTGATGGGGCCAAAGGCGGCCTGGAGCGCGGCGAAGGGTCCCACGAGCCCTATCACCGCGCAGTTGGAGTTGCACACCAGGAAGCCCCGTTGGAGTTTGTTGGTGCGCCGCTGGTGCGGGATGAGGTCGAGGTGCGAGAGATTGACGGTCGGTACGACGAGCGGGACGAGCGGGTCACGGCGGTGGTTTTTGGCGTTGGAGAAGATGGGGATTTCGGACTTGAGGAACTCTTGCTCTTTGGGGGTGGTGGTGTTGTGTTAGTCTGGGGGGCACGTCATGATGGTGGTTGGTTTTTGGTTCGTACCGATTTCACCGGCGACGTCCGAGTCCAGGCCCGAGAAGACAACGTCGCAGTCTTGGAATTCGCTGGCCTTGCATTCGCGGACAACCATGCCGGCGGTTTCGCTGCTCATGGGGGAGGCTTGTTTCCATCGCACGGCGTCTTTGTACTTCTTGCCCGCGGAGCGCGAGGATGCCCCGACGGCGTGGAGCTTGAGCGTCGGATGATTGGCGAGGAGGAGGATGAATCGCTGGCCCACGGAGCCCGTGGCTCCAAGGACGCCTGTGGTTGTTAGTTGGATGGCATTGAGGTGCTGCGTGGTGAGATGGGATAAGATGTCAGTTCTGGGGGAGGAGGGGGGGGAACAAAATGGGAACGAATCGGGGCTTACCGCATTTTTTTGTAGGCGATTGTGTAGCCATGCTTGACGGTTCCCCTTTGGACAATAATTGATTGTCAATGGGTGGGAGAAGAAAGATTATGCTGGGAGGAATATGATGTGGTTTCTTATGAGTCAAGACGAGGTACGTGGATGATGCCCATTGCCGTTGCGACTTTTTGATGGAACCCCGCTGTTCTCGTGCCCCGCCATCGGAGGTGGCTTCTGCTCCTCCCCTACTCAGGCGGGCGGGCGAATTGTTGTTTTGAGACATGGCTCTTTTCCACGGTGGATTACATGGCAGCGTGGGCGCCAGTTTCTTTCAACCGGTTGTGCAACTAGAATGTGCGCTTTGCAGGTTTAATCAAACTATATTCCTTCCTCCTACTCTGCAAGACTCCTGGTCATGCTCCAATGTCTCCTCAATCTTTCGATGTCCAATTATGTACACGGTACGCCTAATAATGCAGATTATTCCCACCCATATTGCTCAAACTACTTGACAATTGAAATAAAAAGTTTCAAAGGACACTGACAATACATGAAACACGTGACGACGGACTATCCCTTAGGCCAAAGATAGCCTGCGGGCATTGTCGCCGTAAATGCGAAACTGCACAAAGATGGTCGAGTCTTCAACCATGGTGCCCAGAGAGCCCAGCAGCCAGGGCAGCGTGTTGAGCAGGTAGTCCTTGTTCTGGGAGTACGAAATAAGGCTCAGCCCGTACGTCAGGTTTCCAGTGAGGGAGAGCATGAAGAATAGCAGTGACAAGCCTGCATGTGGTGTTAGTCCCGTGACCAGATGCCAAGTGTGCTTGTATTACAATGACGGTAGTGGCTCACCCTCGCAGGACTTTTCCTGGTAGTTTTTGAAAATCTGAGGCAATCTCGCGCTTTGAATTCTCTTAGCATCGTACCGATTCCTGTCATCTTGTCGCATCTTCTTACCAGAGATAAAACAGCGCGCTGACATAGCCCAGCGCCAGTCCAAACTTTGCCTTAAATTCATCTTCTGTGGAGGGATCTGACACCCCACCGTCGGGGATGCCGTTGTCGCCGTCCCAAATGCCGGCCTTGTAGGAGACGAACCACCCTGCAAATCCAACCACGTAAATGGCGGTCAGCCCAAGCACGTTATTCAACCAAGGTCGCCGCTCTAGCGTCTCGTCCTGGCCAGTCACCACCTTTCGGATCGGCTCGAGGGCAGACTCTCTGTGCGTATCGCGCCGGATCAGCGAGCCCGGGAGATCGGTCGAGCTTCGTCGGCGCCGTCCTAGGAGAGGAGAGTCTTCAGATGCTGCAGCAGACAAGTAAGCTCGGTCTTGTGCAGCTCGGCGAGCAGCGGCGCGTCGCTGAGCGGCTTTTGCTTTGTAATAGCCAGTCTGTGTGATGAGGATGGCGTCAAGGAAGCAAAAGTACACGGCCAGTGCAATGGCGCTCGGGGCCAGCTTGGTGAAGAGGGCTCCTGTCAGGCGGGAATGGTTAGACAACGTCTTCCTCTTTTTTTTTTTTTTTTACGTGCATCCAGAATTTTGTGCAGACCACCGTGACGCTGTGTCTTGGGGAGGGGATTAGAGACAAGCGTCTGGAGATCGATCACGCGAGGCTGTGCTGCAGCACAACAACCCTTATCAGTGCGACGCAAAATTCCAATTTGACTTGCCTACGAGATTAGACACATCTCCCAGGAGCCAGACGATCAAAAACGCCATGCTCAGTCCCTCGGCGCTCTTTGCCTTGTAATTGGCAATCAACTGGGGAAGCTGCCGGGGGAAACAAGTCAGTGACCTCCTCGTTCGGGGGCGGGAGAAAGGACTGTCAAGAAATGATACCACGCTTTACTCACCAAGAGACAAATCCATGCTGTCAGGCTAATACTTCCGAATATTCCAGAGAGCGCTTGGCCCCAGGACATGGAGGCTCCCATGGCGACAAAGGCCGAGGGAGCGATGGAAACCATATCGCAAACTGATGCTCTCTAATGACGTCGAGAAGTCTCCGCGCGAGTTGGGCCAGGACGGAAAGGTTGAAAAGACAGGAAGCGGGAGGGAGATACGAGATTGAAGGGTGCAAAATGTGGCGGCGGAGGAGACGACAAATGGTCTAAGCTTGGTGCTGTTTGGGTTGGCGGCACTGGCACTGTATTATCTTGGCTCACGAGATCAAGGGGCAGAACTAGCGAGTTGTAGATATCTGGGGAATTCAGGTCTCGGGGAAGAGCAAGCACTTGATTGAGCCCATCCTCCACCAAGAAACAAGTTTACGAGCAGGTACTAATGTCCAGACCGCAGAGTCAGCCGGATGGCTCTTATCGCTGGATCTGGGGGAAGTTGATGAATATAGCGGCGCTGATTGGCTGGCCCTTGCTATCGGTGTCGTCCGGCTTCGGGCGTGTGACGCACATTGGTGCAGCCCAGTGCGTGTGGCTGCTAAAACAGTGGAGTAGTTTGGGACAATCGTATCAACGCTCGCGAGCTCGGCCGGGCCGTCGCTACACAGCTGCAACGTGGGCATGCAACACATATGCCAACTGAGTCGTGGTGATACCGATGGCTGCTGATTTTTTTTCTTTCTCTTCGACAATGTTATCTCGACAGGTTCATCGCTGCAAATGGTGCGTTCCGCCAGCCATGTTCTGTTGTACGACATGCCCCTGCAGGTGCAGCATGCCGCCGTCCAACCCACCCCGTGCGTCTTCGGGTAAGGTCTGGTCAGATGTTGTCACTGACCCCTTCTGGTGTGTTGAGGCTCTAGGCAGGTATCTGTAGGGATGTGTATCCAATAAGAAGCTACATTGTAAAGGATATATATATCTAAGTACTAGCAAATTAAGTGACAATAGAAGTCCCGATAGAAAGGCTCAATATAAATCGCTATTATTATGCGGAAATCTAGGCTGCCACTAAAGTCACCCGAGGTCACCAGCTGCCTGCAGGGGTGTTGTGGGGTCCGTGACCTTACTGGAGCCTTAACACACCAGAGGGGATGGTGGTTTTGCTTTGAGTACGGAGTAAAGTACTTAGACTTAAGTAGGGTGGGATTCCATGCACCCAAACACCCACAGGCTCTGTAGCTCTGATCACGGTTTACATGCATCTTGTGGCTTGAGGCGACATCCAACAGCCAACAGGTGCCAGGTCAGCTCACTCAGAACTCCGCATGTCAGCACAGGCGCAGGACTCCGATAGTACACATGTGGCTGAGGGTGGCTGATGGCTCCCGCGTGGCACAGGACCACCTGACCACTAATACCTAAAGTACCTAGGTAAGTACTTAAGTCTAAGTAGGTGAGCAGCACCAGACGACCCCGCTACTCGAAGATGCCTAAAGCACTAGGTACGGTGGCCGCAGCCCACATACTACTACCAACCCGGGTACCTAGTGTCTGAACTTTCAAGCTGCAAGCACGAAGTATAGCAACAATACGGCATATACGACATGGAATGTCTAAACGGAACGCTCCTTCCATGTGCGTCGCCAGCAGATGTGCCAATAGTGCCAATGCATGCGTCGTGGACGAATGACCCAGCTTGCCAATGCCATCAATTGATCTTTGCATTGACTTTATTTATAAACTGCCCGCCGCCAGAATGCAGCACTGAAACCTTCCACCCCATTGCTGGCAAGGGCCGTAGATGCCAACTGGTAAATTTTGAACTCGTCACCGCTGCTGCACCCAGGTCCCAGGGCTGCATGCAATATATTGCAACGCCGTTTCACGTGGCATGCCGCCATCCCATTGATTGGACTCGTGTACTCCGTACGGAGACCTCTGTCCACGTCTGTCTGCCTCATCGCTCTGCCAACCCATCACAACCACCACCGCCTTAGACCTGGTTGGGTCAACAGGCAGGGTCACTTGGGCGGCGGCCCAGACTCAAGCGAGTGCTAGTGTGCACGCGCCGCACCTGAGACTCTGACGCGTCGAGCTGGGCTCTCTCGGGCTCGCCTCTGTCCTGGTAAAGCATTGGGGATATAATATCGTCGCTGGTTCTAGTGCTTTTCCCCGCTGTCGTTTGAGACTCATCAAAGCATCCATATCATCATGAAGCTGTCGGTTGCCGCTTTAGCCTTGGGCCTTGCATCGGTGCCTGGCACTGTTGGCTGGGGATGTACGTTGCAACATCCATGATTGAACAACCGCGGACGGGAAAGTCTCGCAGATGGCGCCGCCTTCAAAAGCTAACAGTTGTTGAAATTTGCAGCCTTGGGTCACATAACCACCGCCTATCTCGCCGGTCATTTTGTCGCCAACACGACAGAGGCCTTCTTCAAGGACTTGTTGCGTAGCCAGGACGACGACTACATGGCCAAGGTTGCTTCGTGGGCTGATTCCATCCGCTACACGAAATGGGGCCGATTCACAAAGAACTTCCACTTCATCGATGCGCACGACGACCCGCCTCGGTCGTGCAATGTCGATTTCGACCGAGACTGCAAAGAGGACGGATGTGTGATTAGCGCCTTGGCCAACTACACCAAACAGTCTCTGGACTCATCTCTACCCGCGTGGCGCCGTGCCCAGGCCGCCAAGTTTGTCATTCACTTTGTCGGCGATTTGCATCAGCCGCTGCACAATGAGGACGTGGCTCTTGGCGGAAACCGCATTCATGTGTTGTGGGATGGGAAAAGCTTCAACCTCCACCATGTCTGGGATACCTCTATCGCTGAGAAGTGGATTGGCGGCATGCGCGGCAAGCCATATCCCCTCGCCGAGAAATGGGCCAACCAGCTTGCCGGCGAAATCAACGACGGCAAGTTTGCTACTGAGAAGGGGGCGTGGTTGAAAGATCTCAACTTTACTGATGCCATCGAGACGGCCATGGCTTGGTCTAGGGAAGCAAACGCCTTCGTCTGCACTCACGGTATGTGGTGACTCGGGAAGCCAAATATTGCGAGCATTCAGAATTAACGTGCCAAATAGTTCTTCCAGAAGGCCCCAACGCTATTGTAGGTCAGGAGCTTGGTGGCGATTACTTCAAAAAGGCCGGTCCGGTCATTGAGAGGCAGGTTGCCCGTGCCGGCTTCCGAATGGCGGCCTGGCTTGACAAGATTGCCGATGGGTTCGATGCCGGGACAAAGGACGAACCGGTATCATTAGAATTGTAGAATAGGCGAATAGACCAGATGACAAAAATGACAAAAGACATCTCTGTCGTCTGAGACTCGGTTACAATTCTGGCCTGATTTCCTCGTGTTCAAATACCATCCGGTTTCGCCTTTGGCCGCTAGGTCCAAGATGGCCGTCTCAAATTTGACAATCCGGCAAAATGGCGCAAAGGAGCATCTGTCAGTACCGCATCCCCAAAGCCTCCAGGCATAAACAAAAAGCTCCCATTTATGACATCAACGAATGGTTCGGTTTCTACGCTGGCAACGCTCTTGCTTCCGAACACATGGGCTAGCAAACGTTGGCCTAGATTGTAGTCACAACCACTTGGGACGAACAATGCTACAAGATACATAGGGTCTTGCTCCCATGGTTCCTCCCCATTAATGCCGTATTCATCGTAGTCCCGACACCTGCGGCCAGAACTGTTACAAGTCCAAGATGGCTGCAGGCATGGTCCTGTTTCAAAGTTGCCACTCCTTGATTCATCCGGACCGGCTACATTTTCGAAAAGGGGGGGATATGAAGGGAAATAGTAAGAGCGGAAATATCCAACTCGAATTCCATTGACAAATCACATCCCAATGTGCCGTAGGTCTCGTGAGGTTCATCTGTCAACTTTGGTGTCGGCCGGGGTATCAGGGCGAAGCTGTGGCGGCGCAACTAGGTAAGCCAGCGTGAAGGCCTCGCACGCCAGTTTGAGCCATCATATACCAATACCAACTAACATATTATGAGGAACGGGGAATGAGGAAATACATTTGAAAATTTCTGTGTTGTCGGTGCTGTGGATAACAGAGCTCACCAAACGTCGGGATTTTGAATACCTCATGTAAGAGCTCCTAAACAGACGATCACGTCCGGCATAATTCAGTCCCGGAGGGTTCGCCGGTGGGCCTTTAAACAAAAACGAAGAAGAGAAACGGAAGAAGGAAAAAAGTGGAAGTTGCATTGAGACGAGATGGCACGGCGGAATTTTCGTACTCAATTGGCAGCCGAAAATGGCAAACCGGAAGTTTCCATCTGATGTCCTGTATTGTTGCCACCTTACTCCGTCAGCATGGAGAAGGAAACCGCCGATCATACATCCCGCATTGGGACCCAGGAAAACTTTTCTACTGTAGAACGCCAGGGGCAAGTTCGCCGGAAGGCCATCGCGTCAAAAGTATGTCATGCGGGAGGTGTGTATTGCAACAGGGACGAGGCAGCAGGCCTCCCATGTGATGGATCGCATGAACTCGATCAACTCTGCGACAAAATCCGGACAATCGACCGAAAAACAAAAAATAGATTAAAGTAAAAATAAATGAAAGAACTAGGTTCATGCGAACAGCCAGTGTCAAGTCCAGGCGACGAGCCGTTCATCTGCAGTTGCTGTTCATGACTTCAGCCTTCATCCAGTCTGGACTCGGAAAGCGGGAAAGCGGCAGGCAGGCAGGCAACGGTACAGCCGGCGCCAAAGGTAGAGCCAGAGCCGACGGCTTTTGCTAGCTTGTTCGACGGTCTAGTGGTGCGACGGCCTAACAGCCTGGAGAGCTCGCCGCTGGCCACTGAAGGAAAATGTCGAGCGTGGTCACGATGCACTGGCCGTCTTGTTCGAGGTCTGATTCACGGGGATGATGAGGCGAAACGTGCATTGCCTTGGAGTTCGTTCCGAAAGGCAAGTGGCTGTCGTCATTGCTCATGTCGAGTTTTGATTGGCTCGGCAAGCGCCCCGCCATGGCAGCCGGGGCAGGGGCCGTTGAGAGGCTTGAGACAATCGGAGCGGCAAACCCACTTCCAACCTCAACTCCTTCTTGGAGCCCTCGCGCATTTCCGACGTCTTTGGCTTGACTAGCCCTGCGTCAACATCACGCCCCTAGAATGTCGACGAGGGCGAGGGCGCCACGATGGATGCACAGTTTTCACACGCACTTGCAGCTGCAAACTGCGAAGAGATGCCGTATCCCGTGTCGACTTGAGGAGAGAGGCAAGTGTCTTTGCTCTCTCGTCCCAACGGCGTTGACAAGATGATTTTGTTTTCTTCCACCACCAACAATCAATATCCAACTAGCTACCTGCGTAGCCTGATGCTCCGCCTCTCTGTTCCTGTCTGCTTTCTTGGGGTCCCTGCCCAGTTATCATTTGTCATTTGGTGTTTGTCTCGTCTTGTTCCACCGCACGCTAAGACGAAAGACGAAGCATGTCGGACGGCAACGCTACCCAAACGCGGAGGCTCAGGTGCAGTGGTAATGCTTCTTTGCCGCTCCCTGAGTTTGAGCCTGCTGTATGATCATCTCTCCGTCTGCGAACGCGTTTTCTCTTCAAGCTTAACGAGAAAAGTACTCCCTCATTCACCCCCTCCCCTCCCTCCACCCCCAAAGGGCGAACCGTTTGATCTCCGTATCTGTGGGTGTGGTGTGCAATGAAGCTGCCTGATGGATATTGCTCATACTTTTTTCGAGCCGATATTCCCCTTACACGAACCCGATCTCGAGGACCCTCCCTGCCCCAGGCCGGCTATCCGTCTCATTGCTCCGTCCCCTGTCCTACCTAGATACTTATAATAGAGGTCTTGGCATCCGCAAGAGTATTTGGCCCCATTATCTCCCCGTCCTTATTGTGTCTGGTATTTCCTTTCCTCTCTCCTCATTCTTTTCTCATCCAAACTTTTACCGCTCCTTTGGTGACTCGCCGGCCGTGTACCTCTGTTTGCGGCGAGTGACTGTGTGCTGTATCCATTCGTTCCTTGCATTTCCCACGTACTCTCCTTTTTTACTCTTAAATTCTTTATACTGGTCTGGAACCATTTATTCTATTATTTCATATTTACATGCAAGGAAAGCAACATACAGCGAGGAGCTTCTTAGTCGATAACAAACCAACACCAGAATCATGCATATCAAGACCTTAGTCGTTGCCCTCGTGGGCGTATCTGCCGCTGTCGAAGGCGCTGAGATTGGACGCAGATCTCCCTTTTCTCAGGCCTTGGAGCGACGACAGCGAGGCGGAAACGGAAATGGTGGCGGCAATCGAGGTGGCGGCAACAATGGCGGCAACAACAACAACGGTGGCAACAACAACAACAACGGCGGCAATAATGCTCTAGTACTAAACGCCAATGTCCAGCAGGAAGGCTCTGAATCCGATGGCAACAATCCCGGAACTAATGGTCAAGCTGCCTCAGACACGTAAGCTGTTCTCGGGGTATTATGATCAAGTCGCGAATATAAAGTCTAATACGAGTCACAGTTCCAACAATAACTTCATCAACTTCTGCGAGGGCCAGACCTTGACCAACGGCAAGCAGATCGGCCGTGGTTCTTGCAATGGAATTCGTAAGTTTGCAGCAAGATAACCTCAGCGTATGTGTCTTTTGTCTAATGTTTTCGTAGCCATGGGTGAGATTCCAGCTACCCAAAATATGGTTTCTAGCATTTTCATCAACCCCAAGAATGGTGACAACCTGCCGGCGAATCAGGACTTTAAGATTCAAGTTAAGTTGCTGAACTTGAACGCTGGTAGCTTCACCAATGCCACATCTACGTACTACTCTGCTCCTCAGAAGCTTGGTGCAAATGGCAACATCATTGGTCACACTCATGTCACTGTCCAAGATACCGGCCGAGGATCGAATCCCACGGAACCTCTCAATCCCACCCAGTTTGCCTTCTTCAAGGGTATCAATGACGCTGGTGATGGGAGGGGCTTACTGAGTGCCGATGTCGCTGGTGGGCTTCCAGCTGGAAACTACCGCGTGTGCAGCATGTCATCTTCCTCTAACCATCAACCTGTGCTGATGCCTGTTGCCCAGCGTGGTGCTCAGGACGACTGTGTTCGTTTCAAGGTTTCTGGACAGGGCAATGGAGGCAACAACGGAGGCAACAACGGCGGCAATAATGGAGGCAACAATGGAGGCAATCGTGGACAGGGCAACCAGGCCGGTCAGGGCAACCAGCAGGCCGGACAAGGCAACGGCGGAGTGAACAATGCCCAGCAGCGTCCTAACAGACAGGGTAATAACGGACAGGCTGGCAATGGCCGTCAACAGGCTGGACAAGCAGAACAGGCCGGCAATGGCCGTGAACAGGCTGGCAATGGCCGTCAACAGGCTGGACAAGCAGAACAGGCCGGCAATGGCCGTGAACAGGCTGGCAATGGCCGTCAACAGGCTGGACAAGCAGAACAGGCCAAACAAGCAGAGCAGGCCAAACAAGCAGAACAGGCCAAACAAGCAGGGCAGGCCGCCAATGGCCGTGGACGAGGAGGACAGGGCGCAAACGGCAGTGGACAGGCTGGACAAGGGGGACAGGGCAGTCGTGGACAGCGAGGCCAAAAATTGTAAGGGCAGAGCCCAATGCTGGCAGCTGCCGAGGTGGCGTCCGCCCTCCTGATATTCCAGGACACCGGTAACAAGAATGGACCTTCAAGTTAATGGGGATACGTTAATGGCAGGAGCCGGGGCCGTTCAGCAAGTCTGCGGCCAAGATCCCAACGTCTACGTGGGCGCTTTGAAGAGGGGACCATTACCGATGGCAAAGCGACTGATTGTGATGGCCAGTTCGATGCTTACACAACAGAGCTAGCGGGCAGATAGAGCGTCAGTTCTTCAGCTTATTGACCCTACAAAACGAACATTGTTACGCATTTTACGCATTTTTCTTTTTTTTTTTTTTTTTTTTCTTCTTCCAATTTCTTTGCGCCACTGGTTCACACGAAAACTGCGAGGCTGGTACGCAAATAACTCACGCTATTGCCTATTATTCGACGTATCTGTCCGTCATCTATACTGTCGACTACGGCTACGGAATGAGTTGGCAACCAAGACTCGCGATTTACTTTCTGGCTGTTTTCATAGCTGCAAGAAGTCTTGGAGTTCAGATGGGAGGCTACGATTTTGCGGGCTGGGCAGAAGATGCTGGTGGTGGATGGATAGAAAATTGTGTTGAGCTTGAACTTTTTGGGACTCCTATAGATGTTCTTTGAGGCAGAGGCGGCTTACAGAAGTTGGTCTTGCCTTGGCAATGGCTAGGGAGAATCGGGTGGTTTGCCATGGGTGCAGTGTACAGCTACGTGGTTTGCCGGGCGAGATCAGATGATGATGGGGTACGATTTTTTTCCTTTTTACTCGCTACCCTAATTTTCTATAGAAATTGATGAATTTTTCCCTTTTACGTGGTTATATCTTGCCCCCTCGCCCCATCGGTCCTGGTTGCCATGACTGGGCCGGAAAGCCCAGTTTGGCATGCCTAGTTGTGGGATTGTGACAATGGTCCCTGACAGATGATCAAACGAGTCACGAGTAGGAGTTTGTCGTTGCCGCCAGTCAAGGGACTTGGCTTCTGTGCAATCTGAGACAAGACGGGGCCGGCTGGACGACACCAGTGTCGGACCCTAAAAGCAGAGCAGTACGGAGTAACATGCCGAGATACTAGGTGGGTTGTTGTGGCGGCGAGCGCGTGGACTACATATATGTATCGTAGTTTCCGGTTACGTCCGTGATAAGGTCTGGTGTGACGATGGGTGCTTTTGTCCTTATTCCCGACCGTCTTCTGCCAAGACGATCAGCAAGAGCAAGGCCTTTTTCATCGCGATCCATGGTCCGAGGACGGTGGGCATGTTGTTGATGCGCGGGATTCTTTTTTTTTTTTCCCTCCGTAGAGTCTCCACGTCACGATGGCCAACAGGTCCAACATTGAACATTAATGCATTAATGTGCCCAACATTGAAGCCGCCATTGCCGCTGATGCGAGCGTCCATGTCGCCACTCGTGGTTCGTTGCGCGGCGCGCTGATTCGTCGTATATACGACCAGTCCGGAGTAGCCACTCCGCAAACGCAAATCACCACCACATGCATGCATGCTGCACGCATGCAGCTTGAATGAGCGCAGATGGAAATGCCTCACGTTGTGACACTGGCATGCTCTCTGGGACGAACGGCCGAAAACTGGTCGGCGTGTCTGGTGGCATGATGCACCACCCCCTTGCCGGGCAGCGGCCCAAGGCTCATGCAAGCCACGGCGGCAACGGCCCTCTCGATGGGGTTGCAAGCGGCGCATCTAATCAATCACATCTCGTGTCCTGTCGAGGGAAGATGGCTGCGGATCCGGGATCCACGCGCCCAAGTTTGTCTGGTGCCTGCCTTGGCGATGACGGCGTCGGGCTCCGTTGGACGATGCCCGCCATTACGTATGTACTTGAAGATGCGAAAAGTCAACGACTCGTGGCTTTTTTTTTAAAAAAAGACGTAGATGCCACTTTTCGCCTTGTGTCTGTGCCAACTTACTGCGGGTACACTGTACGACAGACTCCAAATAGTACGGGAACAAACGAGACAAGACAAGAGTGAGTACAAGAGGCCTCTGGGAATGTGAATGGCACATAAATGCCAAGTGTGTCTGATGGACTGATGTGCGGATAGACAGGACCAGAATGCCGTCGACTACTACTTCAGCATCTTCGTCGAAGCAGGCCCGGCAAGGCGCGGCATCGCGGTCCACGTCGCCGCAGCATTGCCAGCCCTCCGAGGCATCTTGCGCCGCGGGCTCGTCGACGACTTCGACCAGCAAACATGTCGTGTGGCGCCGCAACACCATGTCGACCCCGTACGGCAGGCCGCATACTGCGCTGCGGTAAGGCAACCTCGTGGGCTGTAGTATATTGATTGGATCGTTGCTTCAGTGTTCCTTTGTGCCAATTTGAGTACGGAGGGGTGTGCCGAGATGGGGACATGAATGCCCAGTCAAGACTTGAATAGTAAACAAGCTCTGTCTTGCGGGAAAGACGACGTCTGTTGTGGGATGATCTGGCTTTGAGTCTTGTACATCTACGCCAACCAACTTTGGCTTTTCATTCTAAACGCGACTCATACGACGGTTTCTTGTGCTCTTCTAAAAAAGAAAAAGAAAAAGAAAAAAAAAAGAGTCCGCGGCCAAGTCGCAATTCTCTTTGCCCCGTCTTATGAACCACCATCTACGAGTCGGCTACGCGGCATGTTGTTGACATGCGACGCCCGCCGCTGCTGGTTTGTTTGCCGATGAATAATGCGGTCATGCTTACACCAACTCCTGCGGTATGAAAAAAATGTCCTATTTTGAATTCCTTCTTTACAGTATTGTATACGGAATATGTTTCAGCTTTCCAGTGCTGGACTTGCAGTATTTGTCTCCCCGTCGCCAGCACAGTCGTCAATACGACAGGACTCACCTGGCGGAAAGCTTAGCTGGCCAAGATCGAAGCTGCATCACTTTTTTTTAGCAATATCACGTACTGAGTTGGTATTGAGACGGGATTTGGAATCGGGTGCGGCTGGCAGAACTCGAGCCAGACATCACAAGGCGGGTGTCGGGCGTGCCGTCTTTATGGACGACCATCGAGTTAAATAGACATAGTGCCGCCAAATAAATCGACTGATTTGAAAAACACGGTCTTCATTTGGAATCTCAATAAGAAAAACATCAAGCATCCGGCTCTTCGTCCCGGCCGACAGCGTGAAGCCCGCCAACCCCAACCCGCATCGTCGGTCCCCAGCCCCTATGCTGTTGACCAAGTACACGACATCTCGGCGGCAATCCTGCAAACATTGACACTTGCCTCCCGTCGTGCTGATAGCGACAACCCCAAAATCGCCGGGTGCTCAAGCAGCATCGGCAAAGACGTTGCCAAGCCCAGCAGCCTCGGGACCAGCTTTGCAGGCAGCAGCAGCAAGTACACGGAGCCGCATGCCACGCAATCCGGGGACGGCACGCCAGCCAGGAAACTAGAGGCCATGGCCAAGCAGGCTCTCGTGGCTGGTGAGATTGAGCCTGTTGTTATTGCTGACGCTCTATTCAAGCTCGCGGCCCGCGGAGACGGGATCCCGCTTGACTTGGCGTTGGCATTGTAAGCCGTCACGCTTCCAGCCATGAGCGACGACCACTATAGGGCTCAGTTCAGCAAACTTGTAGTTGACCATTGTTATTTGCCATGGTGTCTGGTGTGCCATGACAGATGGCAGCGCAACCCACCACCCGACAGCTCAAGTGCTCGTCGTCAATTTCGAAACACGAAAGACAGACTCCTCCGCCCAACGACGTGGCCACATCCAGTCTGTCACCAATAACGACAAGAGAAGCGAGAAATCCCCAAAAAAATCAATTCTATTAAATGGCAATGCCTCCCGCTATGCGACCTTCGTGTTTCCAAGTCCAGTGGTATCGACGCGCTCAGCGCTCAATGTAAATTACATGTCCGTCATCTCCCCGCCCCGACGACATTACAACCCGCCCTCTTCTCTTGTTCCTCTACCCCGCGAGTATCATACACAAACCATTCGTCCTAGTTGCGCTTGGGACTAGACGCCGGCCGTCAGCTCAGCTCGACTCTATTCATCCAACAGTTGGGGCGGGATACTTACCCGCATCCTTGGGGCGTAACGACGCCAAAGGCGCAATCATCCCCCATTCTGGGCACGATTTGATCGTCCTTGATGGGGGTGATGACAATGCCGGCGGTGACAATGGAAGCGGCGGCGCCGAGAACAAGAGCGAGGGAGGTCTTCATTTTGGTTGGATTATACAGAAATTGGGTGATTCACGGCCGGCGAGAAACGACAAAGGCAGGTCAGCAGAGGAGAATGGGTTTTTGTTTTCTTCTACATTAGGAATTAGAGAAACGGAACTGCGAGGCAAAGACAGAGAACAGAGAGAAGGGGGAGGGAAGCAGAGTGGGTTTCTGTAACGGGGCTCGTCGCAGGGGCGTTGTCGAGGGTTTCAGGATGGAGGCGCCATTTTGGCGGTGGATGTGGGACGCCGAGATCATCTCGGGCGGTGCCTGAGCGCCGTTGGTGTCGACTCCAAAGCATAAATCCGGGCTAAGATCTGGCTAGCGGGCGAGACGCTGCCACTGGCCAGGGAATGAGCTCAGGTGCTGGTGTCGACGCCCGGGGACACGAGGGGAGACATTTTGTCGCCGTGGCCGAGTTGGCATCCCGTTATTGTCGAACCATGGTCGCTTTCCCAACCATGCCAAGCGAGCTGTCATCCCACCTTGGCCAGACCCAAAAGAGATACGCACATGCGCCGAGAGACTGTGATTTTGGTTCCAATTCCCCATAAAGCTCAACACGTGCTATGCTCTCGCCTGATCGTACAATTCCCATGCTGTCCCTCCCATCACCATCGTACTTGACTCCTCATGTTTTTGTCGCTGGGTATTGCCACCGCAGTCCCCATCCCCTTCTTCCATCAACCAGCCCACTGCCAATATTTCTCCGCCGCTTGAGATAAGTTATGAGGCCGGAATGGGCGCAGGAGCTTCGGTACTAGATCCGCCAGCGGCGTTGCGGCTTGGCGGAAGGAAGAGCGGCATGTAGGTGACGCCCAGGGCCATGACTACCAAACAGCATTAGCTTGCACGTCCTGTCCTGCATGTGAAATCGTTGCGGAAGGAAAGAAACTAGGAAAGCGTGTGTTCGTACCGGACATGAGGACGGAGAAGACGCCAGGCGTACTCGAATTCTTGGTCGTCTCCTCACTCTCACCCAGCCAATTCTGGATGGTGAAGACGACAGCCGCCCTGTTCCAGCATCATCATCAGCTACACTGCTCCCAAATTGTTTTTCTCATGTTCGTTTCAAACGTAGCCTCCCGCCGTAGAGACGCATGCAGAGATTCGCAGCCACCTGCACGCAGCGGAGAGAGGTGTGACCTTGCAAAGCTCGGCAATGCCCTCCCGTCAGATCCAACCGTTGCTTGGTCGCGTCACATACCATCCGATGTATCTGTTGCGTGTAAACATGGCGGCCATGGGCAGCGTGGAGGAGATTGTAGACGAAAAGTCGGCCTTGTCGCTCGAGGCGGCGGGCTCCTGATAGGGGACGACTATTGCGGAATTCGCCACGTTAGCAACGGATCGTTCGTTTGCGCCCGCCCAACGGGAGTGCCCATTGGCGGTTTCGGACGCGGGATTCAGGCGCGCGGCGTAGGGAAGGGGTAGCATACTCAGGTCCGGTCGTCGCATGTCCTTGCTTGACACCATGATGGCTCGCTGTGTGATGAGATGGTGCGGTGGAGAGGAATGGAGTTGAAGCTCTCACCAGCCGTCTGGGGTACCGAGTTATCTGTACAACATTCAAGAGAGCCGCAAAACAGTCCACGAAGCCGGGCGGCCTAGTGCTGGGTGGGTCCGCACGCGCACCAGACCCAGTGCCACCACCGCAGAGCGGACATCGAGGAGACCAAGCCCGTCTGGTCGTCTGATACCGCCTACACCCTACGCGCAATTGACAATACACTACCAAACAGAACTAAACACTCCGTGTCATTGTAAAGCCACGGGGAAGCCCCCCATCTTCAGCTTGGAGAGTTGAATTGTGTCTGACTACTATGTAAAAATTACACTCATGGCTACCGAATGCCCGTACCAATGACCTGTAAATCCTTTAAAACCCGTGCCTATCGCTTTAAATGCATTACCCTGATACACCAAATCCTAACCTCGCTTCGTGATATTCACGGTACCCGTATAATGACTCTCCATGCTAATGCGCCAGCTTCCCGAATTGCACAAGCCAAACAACTCCTGCTTCGTCTACTAATAACCGCATTCCAGCCCCTCTGTGCACATATCGCTCTCACCATAATCTCCATATCGGAACCAAACTGTCTCTTTTGAGACTCCAAATGCATTCTCGCCGCCGCAGAGAAGCTGCCCTTTCGATCAAGAATCGGTGATGACGATGGCTTCATAATCTCTGCAACGGCTGGCGACTTTGGCTGTTCCGCAAATCCGGTAATGCAGTCAATGACAAGCACTCGGTTCGACCCTGCTTTGCCAAAAGTAGGATCACGGAGAAATTCCGATAGCGTCGTGCGTGGCTTCTTGATCAGTTCGGAAATGTGGATCACGGTAAACTCGTAAAACTTGTGCAAAGGGTGTCCTGGTGCGAGTTAGACAGATACACCATATACTACCATCGCATACTGGCGGCGGGAGAGCAGGGAGCCTTACCGGTCCTGAATGAGGCCCTCGAATTATTAGCCATCATATCTCCCAACCCATCTATTTGCTTTATCGTCGGGCTTGAAACAGGCGATCTCACAACCCTTACCCTCTGTGATGGGGCACATGGATGGGCCGTAACAAAATTGACATCGTATGTTAGCGGATACTGGTACTCCTCCTCCTTGCTTCCGCCAATAGATACAAAGAACTTGCAACCCGCCGGATATGAAATCAATTCGGGACATTTGGTACAATGCTCAACAGTCGGGGTTGGCACCATCTCTGACAGCGGGGTAGCCGCTACGGGCTCGGGAGACGAGGTGAGGACCAGAGATAAGAGCTCGACATAAACGGTGGGAGGCGGTGTGGTGTAATTGTTTTCATGTGGGATTATGAAGTCCGCGGCTTGGACGAAATTCTCCTTGCCGTTGCCCAAAATGGATGATTCACGCTCAACCTTCTTCTTACCCCAAAGCCTGGCTTTTTTGCCGAGCTGGGCAATATCGTCTAATATAAAACATCCATTAGCGACGGAATATGCAATGGCACAACGAGTCAACTCACCAGCAACATCTTCAACCTCTATGGTCAGCCAGCCATCCTCCACATCTTCTGGGAGGACGTCTGTTGAAACCCAGCCCATGCATTCTGCTGCCCCCTTGCCTGCTGCGAGCACACGTCCAACAATGCAACTTGTGCTCCAAAAACTCTTGCCCGAGTATACAAAACCTCCAGACAAATTGGCAAAGGGGCCGAGCTTCGCCATTGCTTCGGTGTCGTTCTCCAAAAGCGTGGCCATGAGATAGTGACAAAGGGAATCGCCGGGAATGATTAAGCCGAACACATATGACTTGGTCAACCAACCAGATTCATGGAGGGCAGCAGCCAGCCTTCTTCGTTGGGCTTGTGCACGACCCTTGTGTTTGCCATGGTTACATGTAATGTCCCAAGCCCCAAAATTTGATGAGTGCCTGGATATTATGGATAGTGAGCTGGTCCTCCGCCCAGGAGTTTCTTCGATTGCATTCTGTGCGTTTTCTGAAATTTTGGTCTCGTATCTGTCTATTCCTGGCCACATCAAGTTCCTGGCAAAGTGAGTCAGACCCTCAACCTGACGTTCGCCGTTGCGCCCCTTTATAGTGTAGTGGTAAGGCAGTGACGCGTTCTTTTTGTGATATCGGTTTGTGACTCTACTGGCCAGCGCCCCGAGCCAGCTGCTCCCACGCCGCGGGGCTGGAGGTCGCACAGGCGAAGGGTCGTCCTCTTTGACAATTTCAATATTGTCGAGCCAACTCCGAGCCAAGAGTAAAGACCATTTAACAGTTTGAGATGCTGCTCGTTCAAAATGGACGACGTCTATGGGCCTGATTCCAGTCACGCCGTACTCAATCCCTTCCGTGACGGCATCCAGTCTGATCAGAAGCTCCGTTGCAAGCAAAATTTGCATGAGAAGCCAGTACTTTTCCTCAGCACGCTCCTTGGCATCGTCTGTATCATGAATTGCTGTGTCGTCGTCCAGCTCGTCGCCATCGTTTTCCCCCCATAGCACTTGGCCCAAGCGAATTCTCCATTCGACACGAGAAAAGTCTATCCAGACATTGGCAACGCCGAGGCATTTTAGCAAGGCCCGAATTTGATTGTTGAGGCCGCAGTGGTCTGCCTGGTCAGTAACGGCGTTGGTTGGCCTCATGAAATTGTGGAAGAGGTCCTTGTACGTTTCCACAGAAGTTCTCGACTTCAGGTCGTTGTGCCGGTAGATGTCGCTATTTCGCCTGAGGCGATCTAGGACTTCTGGCTCTGGTATACGACGCAGCATTCCGCTGTGCGACAGCATGTGAGCTCTGGCCTCCACAATCACCTTGGCTTTGGTGCCGAGGCTTTCGAAACCAAATTGCTCTTCCTCAAGGGAATCGCCTGCCGGAAGTTCAAGAGCTGCCTGATAACCCATGGTTCCCTTTTCCAGTCCCTGCATGCTCATCATATTCGGCCGCTCTCGACACTTGACATGGAAGTGGGCCTTGTGATTCTCCTGTATCTGCCTCTTGGCAACGGCATCATGTTCGGCATCCCTGGTCAAGTGTGGCCAAGCCGTCATGGCACCCCATGCCTTGTCCTCGATTTGAACATGATCTGTCAAGTCTCTGATTTCAAGCTCTTCGTCAAACAGAAATGCGATGCTAGGATGGGGAGCACCATAGAAGTGGCTCTCGTTCCGCGCAAAGAATTGCGGTGCCCCAGAGAAGAGTTTCTCAATGTCTTCCTCACTCAAGGTTGTCGACATTGTGCTGTTGAGCGTCACCGCGGGATCTTGCCCCGTGAGCCATGAAAGTGCCTAGAGAGACTGGGGGATTCGCATTCGCGCGCACCATCAATATGCAAATCCGGTGTGTCGCCACCAGCTGGGTGTCTGGGTTGAGCAATGGGAGGCCACAAGGTAATGCGTGCGGATGATTCGTGACTCGACTGGACCTGACTGGGTAAGGATGGCACACGATTGATCCCTGGTCACCGGCGACAGGAATCGAAGAATGGAAGATGCCGTTGTTCGAAGCCAAAAATAATGCAAAGAAGGATCGTTGGCCCTATGTTCTCGCAGCTCGTATAAGCAGGCAGGAAAACTCGGAATTCAATGGACCCCCTGATGCAGGAAGACGTTCAGGTCGGGTGTGCGAGGACGTCTTCTCCCAGACGCCCACTCGTGGTTTCGTACTTGAGTGAGTGGCGTGACCTTTGATTGCTCTGGTTGACTTGCAAGCGTCGCAAGATGCTCGGCATGGACTAGGGTGCATGCGTTGCAAGGAGCTTGAAGCAAGTGAATAATGGCTCAATGCGCTCCGTACAAAATAACCAGATTGCAGTGGCCGTTGATCTCGTGCAGCAAGGAATTGATGAGTGGGTGGGCAGTTGAGAGACGTCGACGAATGTTGATCTCATGGCTGGGCTCTGAATGCGGATGGTTCAGGCCCTGGTCCCCTATTCTCGCTTTCCCCGCAATCTACTAAAGCAGGCGCGGCTTGGGAACCAGACAGCTCTGGTGACAGATCCCCCCTCGTCCCAATTGCGCCAATCGCCCGGACTGGCATCTGCGGCATCTGCATCTGGCATCGGGCCATCTGGAGTTGAGTGTGTAGGCGTCCATCGCCTCAGATAACCGCTGACAAACCCGTGCCGACCTGAAAGAATGCACATCATGCAGCTACACATATGTACGTACCTACCCGGGGCATGTAGCTTTTGTTGGGATCCGCCTCCTAAATGACAAAGCTGGACAGTAGGTCCTCCATACCGATGCGCTCCGCTACTCGGAGGATGCGAAATAATACAAAAACCTATACCACCTCGAAACGCCACCGGATTACCCATTATGCCGAAAAATGTGCACAAAGAGCTAAACACTTCACGCCGCAGGTACGGGTCAGCCAGACATCACCAACTCACCAACGCCAGCCACTCAAGCTTCAGGCAGCACCTGGGCAGTCCATAGTTCATTATTCCCATGCAAGATCCGTTGCTAATTACATGTACGACTTCTGCGGGGTATCACTCATCCTGTACGCCTTGTCAATCCGTTGCGGCAAAGCAGTCATATCAATACGCCAACTCGTCAAGTCATGCATATCCCCGACGTGGTCATTATTCAAATCCTCTTCTTCATCGTTCATCTCTGGATGCTAGCATCATGTACAAAGTTCCAGCGAATTTGCTACTTCTCAAGCAGATGGCGTGTCGTGAACAACGGTGAGAACGTATTTGGCATCGGGGACAATGACAATCTCCTGTTTCTTCGTTCGTAATCTAAGCAGTCGCATTTCATCCTGTTCCGACATTAGCCCAAGAATTCGGTTTGCGTCCAGAATTGGTAGAGCGACCTCTGAATCCACCTCCTGCACCAAATTACCAGACGTTTTGACAAAGTTCCAAATCATCGCCGCGAAATCCTCAACCCCTTGAGATTCACTTGCTTCCGCTGCAGGAGCCTCGTTGGAGAACGACGCTGATGTTGCCGCATCTCGAGCCTTTGCTGTTCGAAGAGC